ATGTGGTGCTGGGGGATTGAACCGTGGTCCCTGTGGTTTGCTAAGCTTGTTCCAAGTAGGTGCTTTAGACCACTGAGCCATCTCACCAGCCCCAGAACGATTTCAAACGATGAAAATATTCAAAAATAAAACATCAAACAGATTCTTTAGCAAGTAACACCACCAGCTGTTTTTTCATGCTCAATAGAAACAGTAAGTTGTATAACAATATTTTAGTCATTGATTTTACCAATATTATAACCTTTCAGTTTCCATAATCTTAATTTTAGCTGGGCATGGTGGTACAAGTTTATAATCCAACCATTCTGGAAGGCTCAGGCATGAAGATGACAAGTTTAATCTCACACAAACCAATTTAGAAAGCCCTCCTCTCAAAAACACCAACAAAAGGCCAAGGAGACAGCTCAGTAGAATAAACACTTGCCGGGCAAGCACAAGGGCCTGAGTTCAATCCTCAGTTCCACAAAAAAAAAAAAGGGATGGGGACCAGTTAAGATCCTGAGGTCACACACTGTTTCTCCAGTGTGAGACCCAAAGTGTAAATAAGGGCCAAATGAACAATAGGTACTATAAAAGAGGAAGAAAATCTTCAAGGGGGAAGGGGAGGGTAGAAGCAAAAGGAGGGAAGTGGGAAAAAGTGATGGGAAACGCAGGAAAAAAGGGGATGTGGGGAAGGTAGAGGATCGGGAAAAAAGAATCAAGTTATATCACATACAGGTACAAATCCCCTATAATGGATGTGATCATTATTTAGAATTAACACACACCAATACACTTAATTTTTACAAAGAAAGGCCCCAGGTTCATGCTCCAGGACTGCAAAAAATAAATAAATAAATAAAATTTGACTGGGGCTGGAGAGATGGGTCAGTAGAATAAGCACTTCCCTGGCAAGCGCAAGGGCCTGAGTTTGATCCCCAGTTCCGCCAAAAAAATAAATAAATAATAATAATAAAATTTGATTTAAAAAATAAATTTAGGGCTAGAGAGATAGCTCAATAGCCTAAGCACCTGCCTGGGAAGTGCAAGCTCCCAAGCTTGGTCCTTGGTACCACGAATATAAATAAATAAATTTAAAATTTAAAAAATATAGCCTTAATGTAAAAAAAGCCATCGTCAAGAAAGCCTCTGAATTATCCCAAGTTTCCATCGTTAAGATGCTAAAGTTAAAGGCAGTGTGTATTTGGTGGCAAGGCTGGTGTGTGAGCACAGTCAGTCCTGTCAGTCCTGTCTTCTAGAACTAGGAAACCTAGTAAGGCCACCGCAGCACCACCAGCAAGCTATGCAACTCTGCAATTAATAACATTACTTAAAAGCCACAATGGGAAAAACCCAACAGCTGAGGTTATTATCTTACAACTTCTCAAGACCGCTTTGTCACATGTAACAGAAGGCGGGCAGCACTGTGGCAGCCTCAGAAAAGAAGCAAGAAATACAGGGCCGGGGAGATGGCTCAGTGGAACAAGCGCTTCCCTGGCAAATGCAAGGGCCTGAGTTCAATCCCCGGTTCCACCAAAAAAAAAAAAGCAAGAAATAATTTAAAGACGTGTGAGTCAGAGATGTGGCGCAGAGGCAGCATACTGCCGAGCACATACTCAGGCTCTGGGTTAGATCTCCAGCACCAAAACAAGGGAAGAAAAGAAAAATGCAGAATTGTATGGGCTCAAATCCTAGCTTGGCTACTTAGAAAACGCCCACAGCACGCCAGGCACGTTCTTGAGACAGCTCTCTCACCTATAGAGCCAGGGCACTTGTTCTGGGAGGTTGGGCATTCACTCTGACAGCAGGGAGCCATCCATATTGTAAGACCAGCCCTGAATATTTTCAGTGGGATTCTTAGTGCTTGGCACACTGTAAGCTCTTAAACAAGTTAATATTATTATTCCTCACTGCAAAATAAAATTTTATACCTATACATATCCCTATTACACATTAACAATCCAACTGTAAATAAGCTACGAATGTCAGGAAAAGATTTCTTAATTTTGACTCCTAACTATGAAAATATAATCACTCTGAGAAGTCGTAATACTTAGCTATAAAGCAAACGGCAAGGATATGAACTATGTAAGTCTCATGTTTCCCAGGTGAAATGCATAGGTTTATGCTCTCTGCAGCATGTGTTTTTTCTGAGCATCTAGGAGGTGGAGGGTGTTTGCTACACATGTAGTACACATCAAACTACATGCTTATAATTACCTATTCTCAAATATAACATAAAAATGAGGTTTTAAAAACTTACCTTTTTGGGGCTGGAGAGATGGCTCAGTGGTCTAAAGCATCTACTTGGAACAAGCTTGGCAAAGCACAGGGACCGCGGTTCAATCCCCCAGCACCACATGCCAGCCAGCCGCGCCCCCTGGTGGGCTGAGCTGGCCACACACACACATACACACACACACACACAATAAATGTTAAAAAAAAAAAAAAACCTTACCTTTTTTCTTTCAGAAGATAAGATGCTTTCAGATAAATACGGGTAAGTAGCTGACAAGTTTCGAAAATCTAGAGCACACTGAAGTTGCCTCTGTAAAAAGAAATGTAAAATGTCCCCTTAAAAACATAAAATGATTTGGGGCCAGGAATGTAGCTCAGCAGCACAAGTGCCTGCCTGACAAGGGTTAGGTCCTAAGTTTGATTCCCAATACAAAAACAAAACAAAACCATATGGAATGACAGTAATCCAAAATGCAAGTTACTTTTCCTATTCTAGACCCCCTTTGGACATTTTGGTATTCAAAAAATGAGTTTGTGTGACATTACTTACTCGGTAATTGCTGATACCAAAGTGTGTCCTCTGGCGAATTCTTTCTGGTTGTTTTAAAGGATATTCTGAAATAGGAGGTGACTTTTCAAATAAAAATTCAGAGCCACAGGGAGAGAGCTGCAGTCTGGAGCCATTCGCGTACTGCACCTGCACCGTATCATCTCCATAAAGAACCATTCGCGCCTCAGATGTCATGGCTGACAACAGGACAGGGTTATGTTCTTCAAGGTAAAGACTGAAGGAAACAGTACAAAGTTCTTTTAATGCACAAAAGTTGTCAAAATAAGCACATTTTCTCACCACATTAAAGGAAAAAACCTTGACATTGTGTGTATTTATAAAGGAGGAAAACTGACCTTACTATAAATACTTAAAGATCTAAAATGATCATTAAAATAAAATTAAAAAAAGATAGTCTCAATATTGGGCCGGGGAGATGGCTCAGTGGAACAAGCGCTTCCTTGGCAAGTGCAAGAGTCCGAGTTCAATCCCCAGTTCCACAAAAAAAGAAAAGATAAAATGATCATTTTTAGAAAAACACCTTAATTAATCCTAGATTTTATTAATGTAGGAATGCAGGCTGAAAGGAGAAGACTGCTCAAAGTTACAACTGTCCATAACTTTTGTAGCTTTACTACTTCTGAACTTGAAACCCAGCACCTAGATCCCTACCCATAGGCTGCATCACGGAAGCAGCTGCACGCCATCAGCAAAGAGCTTAATGGATCTTACGCCCACCGTCTCCAGAATAGTTCATACCTCTTAAGATGACCCTTACCTACATACGGGAGATGTAGAGCGGAGCTTCACTCACACTCTACCACTTCCTAGCTCTGACCCCAGGGTGTCTCTACATTAGCAAACTGGGAGCAGCAGGGCTGTGCATGAAATACAAATGCCCAGCACTGTACTGCGAAAGTCTCCTAAGGGCTCAGTAAAGACAATGAGATGCTTTTGTCCCTTCCTAAAACTAGTCCCACCTCTTCTATTCTTATCCCCTTTCACTATTCAGGTGATCAAACTTCAACTGCAAAAAAATAACTTGCCACAGATACCATAGGTAACACTTCCCCAGGTTACCTCATTTCCAATGGATAAACCTCTGTAGAGTAGTAAAACTTTCACTGCCTATTTTCTCCATCAATTTTCAATCCACTGCGACCTTCCTTGTCTACTTCTCTACTGACATTATTTCACAATAGCCATTACTGTCTTCTGAATCCTACTAGACCCGGTCAACCTATGACCACATAATCAACCTTTCCCTGCAACCTAACTCCTCTCCCCGCTGTTCCTACCCAATGCCCATTTACCATTTTGGGTTGCTAAAGATTTCTTCTATCTACTTCTGTATTTTATCTTTCACTTAATGACCTTAAATTAAGGCTTCTTCAAGAACTGATCTCGGGCTGGGGAAATAGCTCAGTAGAATAAATGCTTGCCTGGCAAATGCAGGGTCCTGAGCTCAATCCCCAGTACCGCAAAAAAAAAAAAAAAAAAAAAAAAAGAATATAAATAATAAATAACTGATCTTGGTCTCCATTTCATCTCTTCTTATACTGACACTACTGTTAGGCCTCTCCTTACTTCTGTTTAATCCTCCCCTTTGAATGCATGTGCACAGCTGTAGGCAATACAGCCTATAAGTCTTTTTTTTCCCGGAACCAGGGATTGAACTCAGGCCCTTGCACTTGCCAGGCAAGTGCTTGTTCTACTGAGCCATCTCCCCGGCCCTGCCTATAAGTCTTTTGGAACGTCTACACACAAGTAAATGACCCTATGGTCTCTCCTAAGGAGACTTAAGTAATTTTATTTTAATTTTTTTCTCTAGAAAACTAGATCTACCTGACGTCTTTCCTGAACATTCAGTATCCTTAACTTCTAGCCTGCTAGGTTTTTCTTTTTTTCATATTCTGGTTCCATAGATGAGTCAAATTCACTGGACTAAAACGGAACTTACAAAGCAGGCTTCAGTAGCCTGTAATTTCACTTTCACTTGTTGTCTTTTTTAAACAGGGTTTCACTATGCTGTTTTGGCTGGCCTGGAACACGTTGTTCACGCTAATGATCCTCCTGCCTTACTCTCCCAAGTGCTGATATCACAGCGCGCTGCCACACCACCTCACTTTCTCATTCTTGCTTCTTCCCTCACATTCCAATGCCGGCCATTATAATTGAATGATCAAAAAATAAATGAGTAAAATTTTAAATTCCAGCTTCCCTTACATTCACAATTAGATAATAGAATAGCAATGTCAGTAGTCAAAGATAGCAATATGTATTTAACTTCTGTGTTTCTTTCATTCCCATGTAACCTTGCAAATTCTGTTTCTCTTCAATTTGGTCCTCTCTATCCTTTTTTTTTTTTTGGTGGAACTGGGGATTGAACTCAGGCCCTTGTGCTCGCCAGAGAAGCCATCTCCCCAGTCCCTCTCTATCCTTTTTTTTAACCTACACTTCTATCAAATCTTGCAAATGTCTATAGATTATTTTTCCAGCTTCTTCTCTCTCGGTGGCATGTCTTATTACTGCTACATTGCTAACTTCCTACAAGTCACAGTCACGGCCGGAAGGAAGTTGATCAAACTGAGTGTAGGCAGGGCTAGGCCTCTGTGCCTAAAGCAAACCACCTCAGCGCTGAGATAAACATCCGGTCTGGTCAAGGTCAGCTATTAGTCACGGGGCAACCTCACTTTGCAAAAGTATAAACAAAGGACGTTTTGTCACGTGGTTGCTAGTCTCGTCCATCAGGCAGACTTACCACCACCTAGCCCAGCTTTTGTCTTGTCTCTTTTCTCATTCCTGCCACTGTTTCTCCCACTGTTTCTCTCCCAGGGTACAGCCATCTCAGTGAGGCCAACGGATCCCTACAAATCACTTCAATACGTGTTAAATGGCAATAGTCTTCGGAATGACAATATGGTTCCATTGCACAGAGACACACCCGTTTATCTGGTATTTCAAGAAAAAAAAGGTGTCTCTATATACCTAAGAAATTCCTTTGTTTCTGAGTTCAAAGGGGAGAAAGTAGAAAACTTGGTTAATTTTTTTGTTTTAAAAATAGCTTTACTAGTATAGCTGGTGTATTTTAATCGATAATAATTGTAAGTCCCCAGGCATACCCGAGAAGCAAGGGTATGTAACGGTCCTGGCAGCCGGGGGTGGTGGCGCACGCCTGTGATCCCAGCACGCTGGAGGGGAGGCCGGAGGGCCGACCGAGCCGAGACCAGCCTGGGGTACGAGGTGGGCGCAAGGCCGCCTGGGCCCCTGCCTCGGAGGGCAACAACCCAAAGCTCCCGACCGAGGCCCGGCCCTCTTCGCCCCTACCCGCATCTCCGAGCTCCCAACGCGCCCGCCCGCCCCTCAGCCACAAACGCCGGGCCTGAGGCGCCCTGCCGCGGCGACCAGGCGACCGCGCTTCCCGCAGCGCCGCTCTCCCCGCGCTGCTGCCCCGGGGATACCTTCTGTACTTGACAGGTTACCTTCCTGGAAATGGACAACACTCACCACCGCAGAGAAAGCGGGCCGGAGAGAGAGGCTTTGGCTGAGGCGCCGGCCGAGTCCGCACTGAGAAACAGCAAGCGCAGCGGCGACCGAACGCAGGAAACGCAACCGGTTCAAACCTCCCGCGCCGCCGGAAGCAGGGCAGCGGAAGTCCCGCCCGCCCGCCCCGCCCTCGCCCCGCCCCCGCCCCGCCCCGCCTCAAAGCGGGATGAGCCGGCGCGTCTTTCTTCCGGCGCCCGGGGCGAGTCGCGGGCTGCGCTCGTAGGGATAGGCCGTGCGCGAGAGCTGAGCGTCAGCGTGGATGAGATGACCTCCACGACTGACCTGGGCGACGCTGCGTAAAGCGCCACGGAGAAGGGCCGGGAGATAGCTCAGTAGAATAAGCACTTGCGCGCAAGGTCCTCAGGTCAATCCCCGGTACCGCAAAAAAAAAAAAAAAGCCACGGAGAGCTTTCGTTAACGCGGTACCAGAGGATAGGCCTTCCGATTCCGTTACTGCCACTAAATAAGTCTCCTTAGCGACCCTGCTCGGTGCAGGTGGCCGGGAAGCCGGCGAGGAGGCGCGGTCCGGCTGGCCGGGTGAGGGTGAGGACTAGGGACTAACGGGAAGCACCGCAGCCTTTGGCTTCTGAGAGAAACCTGCGTCTGCGGGAGCGTATGGCGGGAAGGCGCGACCGAGGCGAAACAGCTACACCGAGATCGTTTTAGGGAAGCGCTGAGGTCAGGAAGTCGGTCGGAGCACCCCAAGCGGAGCTCCCGTCCGGCGGAATGCTGCTTCTGAACGGGCTTGAAAGCAAGCAAAAGGCCTCAAGGGGAGTGTGGATTTAGAATCATGGGCTTTGTCTTATATTTTCTGACACCAAACCAGGAGAAGCGGTTTCTCTCTGGCCGTTCTGTTTGCTTTGTTTTTAAATAGCTTTATTGAGGTACACTTATTACAAAGACTTAAAGCATAAGTGACAGCACAAAGGGATAGGAAAACCTCTCTCTGTAAAGTTATTTTTAAAAGGCTGGTTGTACAAATTGACCTCAATCTTATGTACAGTACAAAGGTATCCTGCATAGTTTGTATTATGTAGTGCTTCCCTCTGATCCACCCTAGCCTTTTACCCTTCAATGTTTGAGAGTCTTCTAAACAAATTGTACTATAGTGATTTTGGGATGCTGTTTCTGCTTTTGAAAGATTTCTGGAACTGCTGGGTGGAGAATGGATTATATGGTGCAAGAGCAGATGTGGAGAGCTCATTAGAAGGCTTTTACTTATATTTTACGTCTTTGGTACAGCTCACTACACAGCTCGGACTCATAGTGATCCATCACTGTGCTTGTCTGAGCAGGCGTTTAGTCAGCTGAGCCATCTTGCTGGCCCATAGAAGGCTTTTAAAAAACAACAGGAGAGGTTGGGTGCTCTGACTGGTGCCTGCACTCTCAGCTAAATTAGATTAATAGTAAAAGGTGGTTCAGGCTCTCGAGGCACTCAGTGCAAAAAGTGAGACACATCCGTGGCTGCCACAAACTTGAAGAGAACGACGCTCACAAGCCTTTCCAGAGATTTACAACAGCTTGACATTACACTGTAATTCGCCCCACCTGGTCCAGTAAGCCTGTGTGGTCCATCAGGCTGATCAAACATCCCGACCCATTCTTCCTTCCCAGGATGTGCCTTCATTCCTTCCACGCATTAACAGATAAGCTGAAGTTAATGCTGCCCACCACGAACCTTCGCTATCCACCTCACTTCCCTCCTGGACCATGGTCAGCAGAGCCACTATGCTGTACCCTGTAGGCTTACTATAGTTGGACCCATCAGCTTTCCCAGGTTGCAATTCCACTGTGGGAAAATACGGCTAACAAAGAGGCTGGGCAGCCACCCACTCAGGTGTCCTCTTGGAAATCCAGAAGCTGTTACTCTCAAAATCTCTAACTTTCCCCTCTGGTGCACGACTTCATTCCTTGATGTGAGACCACGAGCTTGATTCCTGTAACACCAGCAACTTAAGAGGCTAAGGTGGAAAGATGCTTGGCACTGGAGGCCACCCTGAGCAGCAGAGCAGAGTGCAGAGCCAAGAGCGCAGGTCCAGAGATGCTGAGGGATCCAGCTCTGTCTGTAAATGACTGAACCTCGTACTTGAGGGAGATGGAGGACTCTGAAACAATGCCAAGGTTCTGTTTGGAAAGAGTGAGAAGGTGGCCATGCCTTCGGAGAGGGAGTGGTGGAAGAATAAATTGGGTGATGGCATGAGTTAAACATTTTAAGTTCCCCTGATGGAAACGGTAAGTTAGTAAAGGTCTGGAATAAGGAGACAGAAACACATCTGCAACTCTCTTGCTGACAGGAAATAAGATATAGGGGGGAAAAAACTATAGGAGAGGGTGGAGTCGTTTGAGGAATACGAGTTCTCAGACATTAAGTAAAGAAAGAGGAGTCCACAAACACAGCCGCCGGGGAGAAACAACAAAGACAAGTTATTGTATCCTAGATGCCTAGGGGTTTTCAAATTTTATGTTACTGCCAGAAGATAAGTTTAAAAAGAATTAAGGGCTTACTGGCTTTAGTGACATTAAGGCTACTGGTGACTGTAGTGAAAGTCATTATATATAGTGTAGAAATCATAGTGTATTTGAAGAGCAAATAGACATGGAAATGGAGAATGTGGAACAACATTCTTGTGGTTTGGGATTTCTGCAAGGGAAACAATACAACACAGGACACATTTTGTGTGATTATTTTATGATCACCCAAAGACTCATACATAAAAGTGCAGGAAATCTCTCCACACACTAAACACCAAAGAATCCAGCTGTGGGCCTCCATCCTAATATCCTGCATGAGTGCAGCTAAAACCCTAGACCCTGTAACCATGCGTCTCACAAGTCCAATTGGAGGCCTGCTTCACGGATCTGCGCTGGAAAGCCCCAAAGTTAAGCGGTAGAAGCTAGAAAGTCTGTGCAGCAGGCTGAGGGGTCTGCAGTGAGGAGGCAATGCTCAGAGGAGGCACCAGAGCTTCCCCGAGGAGTGCCATAGCTATTCTCAGTGACAGCAGGTCCCAAGCTCCTCTGGCCAGAACAGCCAAGTTCATCAGGAGAGCCAGCATGCAAAATAGCCCGAGACTCCGCAGCTTCTCCAAACGGCTTCCCTAACAGCCTCTTGGGTTCTGCCTCTCATGTTGTTGGCAACAACCCTCAGGTGGGCCTCCCACACCAGCACCACGTTAGTTCAGTTCAGCTGTGCCTAACAAATTGACCACCAGTTAGCTATCCACTACAGCCCTAGAAGTCTGTGAAGCAGACCTGTTGGGAGAAATATGAGATTTCTTTTGGTAAAAGGAATAGTACACAACTCTGAGCTGGATTACACATGCACACATTTCATGGAACAGAGGAGACAGCATTCTAGCACATCAAATAGCTCTTAAAAAGTGGGGTATTTCCAATACAGGAGCACATGTATATGTGTGTACATTTGGCCTTTTTCCTGTGAAGCAAGTCATGCAGGGGCCGAAGAAGTTAAGAGTAAAGAGGTATGAAACAGTTGAAAAGGGATTAGGCTAAGACTTGGTGGTGCTGAGGGCCTGCTGAAGGGGTTTGTACCGCATGCCTCTACTCCCAGCTACTTGGTAGGCTAGGGCAGGCACACTGCAAGTTCAAAGCCAGTCTGGGCACAACTTATCAAGACCATCTCAAAAAGTTTAAAATATAAATTAAAAAAATTTAGATCTGGGGTGATGCAATAGAACACCCACTGGCCCACTCCCAAGTAGTGGGGTGACAAAACTTCTAGCTGCAAGGATGCAGCAGTACTATGCTCCCCCAGGGCGGTTTTTTGCCAGGAAACAGCATACAGGAACTTAAACAACATACCTCCGCCAAACCAGGCCCCCAGCCGCACGCCCGTGTTTTCCACCGCAAGAGGGCGCATCCGTGCCAAGCTTTGGGTTCCCGCAGCAGGGACCCGAAGTCTAAGGGGAAAAGGCCATCCCTGCAGGGGTAGGAGCAAGGCTCCACAGGGTGCTGTCAGGGGCCAAGGGCAGTTCACCAAGTGGGTACTCCAGACAGCAAGGAGCCGTTCTGGCGATGTCAACACAGTGGCCAGCAAACGTTGTGGTCGTGATGCACCTTGTACCTTCTAGTAAAGGTGGGGAGGAAAAGTTTCCTCTGACCCTTGTAGTTCTGATCTGTCCCACCCCCCAACCTAACACTAGAGCTGCTTTTTTATGTCTCAGTCAACTTCTAGTCATCGGATTTAACTTTCTTGCCAAATGTGATGAACTTCTCACAACTTAATCCACGTTTGGCTTCCCCAGTTGTTCATGCAACACACTCCACAATTACTCTTGCTTTGTGATGAAAACTCCCAATTTGCAGTGATTTCTAATGCTTTAGACCACCCTCCAAATTACTGAGCCACGTGGGAGAGCTTCCCGCTACCCTGTGCCTGCGGGACCTGCTAGTCTAAGCCCAGGTGCAGCGTGGGGGACACCTACTTCCACCCCCTTGGAACACCCCCACCACTCCACAGCACCCCAACCCACCCTGCCCGCTGAGTGAGAATTTCTGCCACATTCTAGGGATCCCCCAGATCCAGTCCTACTCCAGGCCCAGTGAGTGTGTGGGAGAGCTTCCAGCTACCCTGCGCTGGTGGGACCTGGAGGTCTAACCCAGGCGCAGCGTGGGTGAGACCCTCTTCCACCCCCTTGAGGCCCTCCCCTACCCCATCCTGCCGGCCCAGAGAGAATTTTTGCCACGTTCTGGGGAATCCCAGATCGAGTCCTAGCCCAGGCCAGGTGAGTGTGTGGGAGAGCTGCCTCTCCCCCCTATTCCACCTTGTCCCCTCCAGACTCAGCTCAGGCCTGGCATACAGGTCTGGGGTGAAACCCTGCAGCTGCAATCCCTGCAGAGAAAGTAGGGGACAGAACCACCTAGCTAGTCCAGCAGCAGAACATCTTGCCAAAGGGGCACAACAGGTTCACTCCCAAGGGTGGCAGCAGAAAGGAGCTGAGCACAGCAGCCAGACCCAAGCTAGGCACAGCTGGATAAATCCAAACTTTGTAGATCTGCACCTGAATTTCAGTAGGTGCTACGGTTATAACTGCA